GCCCCGAGCCCTTCCTTCCATCGCCCCGAGCCCTTCCTTCCATCGCCTCGAGCCCTTCCATTGCCCCGAGCCCTTCCATTTCTTCCTGGGAAGCCAAATGGCACATACTCATTCCACACACCACCATATTTCCCCATCCTGTCCGTCCACTAGCCCCTCCCGTTCTCTCCTCTCATACTCCTTTCCCTCCCTCCTTCCACTGCAGCAGAGCAGTGTGCAGTCACTCCAAGCCCGCCAATGGTCTTCCTTCCCAACTACATGCCTTCTCCACCCCTCCTAGGGTTTCACTATGCTGGCCACTAACCAACCCTCCTGACCCAGCCTTAAAAAATACAAACATGTGCCACCACACTTAGCTAAGAGAACTCTTGAAAGTAGCCAGAGATAAGGAGAGACTATGTTCAGGAGAACCATGACACAGATAACCGAAGGGTTTCTTCTAAATCCACAAGGGCCAGGAGAAAATCAATAGTATCTTTAAAAAATGGAAATGTTAAAAAAAAAAAAAAACCAGGTACGTTTAAAATTACATGAGCTTTTTAGAACTTCTCTCATCAAGGTCACCAAAAAAAAAAAAAATTAATCCAGTAAAATCTGCCAAGCCACCGTACTTAAAACATGGAATGCCACGCACCTGGATCTGGCTGCGCCTACACAGTTGGGATGATTGTCAGGGACAACACCCTTTCCCATAGGAGTAGGCAAAAATGGCAAATTGCACTGCTCCACCAGCTTCCTGATACTGTCCTCTGCATGGGAATAGGCAGCACCTATGAGAAAGGCAGATCATGGGATGACTCAGTTACACTCAGTGCTGGGAACCTCAAATGTGTCACAGGAATTTGCTTTTAGATCCCAAAATTCTCCTCCTGCATTAAACACTAGCCTGAAAGCAAAATGAATGGTGGCAGTTATTTGGAAAAACTACCTCTAAGCAAAAACCTGTATCTGTACCTCTGGCTGCAGTCACATTCCTGCTTCATGCTCTGGGCCTACTAAACTACTACCCACAATTCCCTGAAGAGAGGTAAGTAGGGAAGACCTCTGCCCCGAAAGATAAAGACTGTGGAAACGTTGCTCTACATTACCTGTAAACTCTTCTGCAGTCTGCTGTGCAGGATGTATGTACGTATGTATGTATGTATGTATGTATGTATGTATGTATGTATGTATATATGTATATATGTATATACTGTGTAGGATGTATGTATGTATGTATGTATGTACTGTGCAGGATGCATGAGTTTCTAAGTATCTACAATACTATGGCTTTAACAGGGCTAGCCTGAGCAGACTCATACTTGTTTTTATAACTATATGGTACAGAATAAAACATGCCCTCAATGACCCTGAAAACAACTTACTGTTTTGACATATAAATAATTTCATTTCTGAAGTCATTATGACCACTGTTGTTTTTAGCTACTTAACTTTATATTCTTTAGAGCTAATAGCATACTATCTACTTCTCTATGGAATCCTAGTAGGTAATATAGTGTATATTCAATTTCACTATTACAGTCTGCACTAAAAGGTCATCTTAAAATTCTTTATTATGTATACGTGACAAAAAATAGTCTTCTTTATTACAGCCAGTAA